TTTCCTACCTATTTCCTTTTTATTTTCTTTTATCCAATTTTTGTCAAAGATATTCTGCGGTCCAACATGTAATAAAGCTTAAGTTGAATAGTAAAAGATTGCAAATTCGGGTTTGTTATTTTGTGACGAATTTGTATTGATTTGTTCTATTTAATTCTGTGTTGGGCTATCGTTCGAATTTTAAATGCTGTTGATTGGTCCCACTTTTATTTACTTAATTAATTGCCTAATAACGTTGAATTATTTTATTTTCAAAATAATTGTTGTAACTTGAATATACAATGACCTGCAATTCATGTTTATATGAACCTGCAATTCATGTTTATATGAAAATATTACGGATATTTCATATAAAAAATTATAGGCAAATTCCATCATAAATCATATAAATATATGGGCTTGTGCGAGTCTTAACAGTTGTATCGGTAAAGAAGGAAGGGGAATAAGTAGTCATGTATGGATAGAATTTGGTAGGGGAAAAGTTCTTCGTTTGACTTGTTCGTAAGTTTTAGAATCAAAGAACTTTCAACCTTTTTTTTCTTTTGGGTTCTACTATTTTTATCTTTACAATAACCAACAAAAATTCATAGAAAGAAGCTACTCTTACCAAAATTAAGGATGGTGTTACCCCTCAAATCCGAAATCTGAGGTCAGATCACCACATACACAGCCATGTATGCAGCGGTCAGCGTGGATAGTCACACAAGGGCTATGGAGGCTATTGAGGCTGGTCGGGGTGCCTTATATTTGGGGATGGCAACGAGGATGACAAAGTAACTCGGGGGCAGCCAAAATTCGATCCTACGTGGAATGAAGCCACGTGGTATGACATGTGAGCAGATGGTCAAACACACCAGTCAAAAGAAGATCCAATAGGCCAAACACACCAATAAAGAGGAACAGGCCTATGCCCTCACACTTCTCCAAAGGATGAAGCTGCGTAATGTGGGTGAGGACCTCGGATCTCTCAGAAGCTGCCTCCAACTCATCCGAAGCTCATGAAGCCAACGCTGCCTCTCGAGATAGATTTGGAGATCTATCAGAAGTGATTGACGTAACACTTGTAATAAAAGTTTGTCAGTATGCCAGCCTATTGTATAGGGCGGCTGACCCTTTATCAATGTATTAATTGTATGAATAGACAGTGATGTGAAACCTTAGTTAGAGAGATGAGGCCACGTGGTTCCGATTCAACGGTCATCACGTCGGCCAATGCATTATAATTAGGTCTTTTTTGTAATGAAACGAGGGGTTGGGTCATTGAGAGAAGGAGGACAATCATATATTTAAAATATACACTTTAACTCTTGAGGAAAAAATATGAACATTTTATTTATTCTTCCACATATTCCTACTTTGTTATTACATAGACTAGTTTAGTTTCCATCAGGCAATCGTCGTTAGGGCGGTTGCTTTTGTTCCATCCTTCGGAGTTTGAACATTTTCGTCTCTCGTCGCTAAGTACCTCTCGCGTCCATCTTCTTCGTGTTACCATCATCATTCCAGAAGGAACGCCCCGAAATCGTACTTGAATTGAGGTGAGTGGGTCCGGCATCTGTTGAGCTCATTTTTTGGGGTCAACAGATGACCTTTTGACTTTAAATTTGAATTGATTTTATGTTAAGAGAGATACTCGATGTACGAAAGCAAGCAAAATTTGATGGTCTTTTGTTGCTTTATTTATTTACCTTTTTTTTACAAATAAAGTGAACAATAAAAATAGTTTAAATAAACAGATTTTTACTACGTGCTTGTTTGACATGACTTTTGAAAAGTAAAAAAGAGTTATTTGTTTATATTTTAAATATTTTGGAGCGTCTTAAATATTTTGCAC